AAGCCGAACTTCCTCATGGCAGAGCGCATCCCCCCCCACTCTCCACACACCCCGCCCATGACTCCTGCAGGCTGTGAAAGTGAAACTTAACTGTCTGCTGAGGTCTCAACATTAGTTCTCACTCAGTGAAGCTCTTTTCAGATTAAAATTACCTTTGAGGAAATGAATTTTCAGATGCCAAGTAAACTGCATCATGGCAGCACCCACCCACCGAAATGGGCGGGACAGAAGTGGAAGGTGGTTCTTAAAGAGACAGAGGTCAATTTCAAGGCGTTTAGTAGAGGAAATGATGAGAAGACAAGTTTATTTTCTATTTAAACCTAAAAACAGCATTTTAATAACAGCTAAAGGTGACATACATAATTTATTATGGTATAGTGTTTAAATATATGCCTGAGAAACACATAATATTGGCCCTTTAAACAAATTTCTGGTCGATCACACAATACATGACGCAAACCCCTGCAAGACAAAAGTTCTGACTGGGGATAAAGACGGGGTCTCGGGGGCGGTGAGACGAGAAAAAGGCTTTTTGTCAGGCAACCATACCAGTGAGAAATAAACCAGCAGTGATGAGTACAGCTAACTAAACCGTTAGGTTTACTAAACTAAACAAGAGTCTTAGCTCCACTAAGACTAAACCGCTAAACAGATTTTAAAAATTAGTGAAGCTAATGCTAACTGGTAACACAAATGACCTGTTGTTAGTTTTCTATTGGTTTAATTTAAAGGTAAGTGGGATCATTTGTGGCAAACTGGCCCCAGTCAGAGTTATAGCTCTGCCTAACTTGTGATACTTCCAGTTTAACCCTTTCAGAATAAAAGCATTTATTCATTTGAGCTTGTATTTTAATAAATATCGCTTGACGTTAGTCAAACAACAAATAACAAAAGCMACCTCTACCATATTTTTATACATTGTCAGTTTTTGTATTTGTTATTTAAAGTGAACATATTTAAATCCTTGGCGTCTTTATAAAGTGGAACTTTCATCTGAATTCCTCCTTGCTGTAACTTGCAAGTCCTTTGATAGAAAATCATGCCTCTTGGGACTTTGATCAGTCAAACTTTAAATACAAGGAGTGAAAGCTGATTTTTAACTTGACAAAAAAAAAAAAAGAACTTCACTGATTGCTTCTGCTGCCTAATCAGCCATCACAGCTGGGACTGACTTATGTCAGCAGACCTGGACAAACGATGAACTTTACAAAGTTAACTTAACGACAGAAGGGATGTTTTCTCAACAATGATGCTTTTCCCTACAAAGGCTCTTCATAATAAAGAAAATAAAACATATTTGATTTAGGTCGAGGCTTTTTTAAAGTTYTAGTTTAGTTTTTGCACAGTAGCTTCAGTTTTATCTTGTTTTTTTCTAATCCCCTTAATTTAAGGTGGAGGTGGTGGATGGAAGGACAAACCCAGCGATCATCAGAGCGCCGGCAGGTCTCTGGTGGAGGGGGCAGTGGGGGGGTCTTCGTGCTCTCTGGCTCTGGCGAAGCTCAGATGGCCGACCTTTGGAGGTTTTGGAGGTGGAGGAGGTGCCTGCACGGCTGGGGGCGGCGGAGGAGGCTACAGGGGTGAGAAGAATCAGTGRTTCATATTTCTACATCCTTTATTCTCCACACAACTCTCCGGGAGAACACGATTTTTTTAAAGAATTTCTGATCTTTGCCTRGGTCTGAATGATGATTTATTTTTATTACTCTTAACAATTCGAACAGACTAATCAAAACGGTTCTCATAAAACGAAAAATAAAATTACTTTCATGGTCACATTTAATTTATTATTTACTTGCTCATGAAGCCTGACGGTAATTACATTCATTAACTCAACAAAGAAGACATTATTGTTTGGTTCAAATCCTTTTTTCTGCAAACATCATGTGAGCAGCAGTCCTGAATAGGAGTAACACACAATGGAGTCTGCAGTCCAACTTTGTCTAAAAGAGCAGAAAAAGTGAGAGAGGTCTTTCTTTTTCTAAACCCTATTTATAAAAGAGCTTTTGCTGTCTTTCATGAATAAATATTACCTCCTAAATATTTTTATTGTCTGTTTTTTTTTTTCCTCAGGAGGTGATGCAGCGCTGACGGATGAGATCACAGCAGACGGTCAGAACGGCGTTTCCTTCATTCATCCGATGGGAGAAATTTTCCTTCAGCCTCTGGCAGGTGAGGCTCAGCGTAAAGACCCTACCCGCTCCATCTGAAGGCGCAAAATCCAAACTCGCTGTCGTCGTTACGGGACGAAAACTGCGTCATTTTGTTCGCAGAGCAGCTCGACACAAAACCAAACTTTTTCTCGCAGGCGGACGTAGCGAGTGTTGAGTGATCGTTCGTGCAGAGAACCGCTCAAGATGACAGCGGTGGCGTTTTGCTTCAACTGTTTTGTTTCCAGAAACGTATTGTTGCGTGTTTAAATAACACAGATGTTTTGAGGAGCAGTTGTCAGGAACTGCGTCCATCTGTGATTCTTCCAGAGACTTAAATTCAAGGGTTCATCAGTGGGAGGGGCTTCCCAGGAGCTCTGCACCGTGCAGCAGGGGGTCTCTGCAGGCACTATGTAGGAACTTTTACTTTGTGGGCACATTTGGCCCAAGACGTGATTGGTCAGATTGATGGTGGGGTTTGAAGAAGCTGGGGGGGGGCAGCAGGGGGTAGTTGGATCGAATGGGACAGGAAGCACCTATATTTTTTTGAATATGGGGATTAATTTTAGTCATAACTTGAGACAGGAAGGTTCTAGCAGCACAAAATTTGAAATCAATAAATTATGTTTACATGTTCACAATAATTTTTATTTAAGCAGAGTTGTAAAGTAGCTAAGTACAAATATTTAAGTAGAATTTTTGGGGATCTGTACTTTACTTGAGTAATTATTTTTCAGCCTAATTTTTACTTCTACTTCTTACATTTTCACAAAATTATCTGTACTTTCTACTCACTACATTTTTAAAAAGGTAAGAAGTAGAAAGCTACTTTTATTTATTTATTTTTTTGTAAATTCGGACGGTCTAGCCTTCAGCTTTATTCCCATCCTTACCCCAGCATATATCCTGTCGGCTAACAACCGTGACGACCCTAAACAGAAGTAAAAATAAATCAAAATTAGCCCAGTTTGGTTCTTATGTTTTTAAGTTTCAAAATAAAAGAGAAATAATTAATAATCCGGTGTTTGTTTTATTTATTATTAATTTTTCTTATTATATAACTAAATTTAAAAAACGACAATTGGAAAAAAATAGATAAAATGCTAACAAAGATGCTAATAAATAACTTTTTTCCCCTCCTTTTTAAAGGTTTAAGCACAAATGAGCTTTATATTTGGTTAGTGCACTTTTTGGGACTTTCTGGTGGATCCAGAAATCATGGTCTGAACTTCCAGGCATTAATTTTTACTTCACCGTGGATGTGTTTGTCTTATTTAGAGGGAGTCTCATTGAGAGCAGTGCAGCCATTGTTATTATCTTTAGGAATGGTTTTTGTTTTTAAGCAGCCTTCAGACACAGAGCACACAGACCCGTGCGTCGACTGATTGGCTTCAGATCCTTCATGTCGGACCCTTGACGCTCCACCTCCTCGTGATGATCTTTGTAGAAAGAGCTAAAATTAACWTAAACATCAAAAAGATTCCTTCTGGAAATATTCCTGGGACAAATAAAAAGACTAAAACAGAAAAAGAGAAGGAGCCATGAGACGGGATTAAAAGTGTTTGGGAGAAAAACAACCGTTTTAATGTTAACAGAATACAAACACAAGAAGGAGGTCCCACAAATAAAGACAAATTAGTTGCAGCAGGTGTGAACTCTACAGATGAATTTATATTTGTGTGATCGTGCGTTGTAAAAACCAACATCAACACCGTGCGTTTAGCCACGTAACACTCTGCTGCGTCTTATTTTTGTTAAAACTGCCGACCATCTGATTCTCATTACTTCAGCTGGGGGGACAGGAAGTTTCTCAGTTAATTGTCGGCCTCGTGTGTCTTGTTGCCTCCGGCGCTGACAGACGGGCCACTGTTTCTGTGTGAAAGCGCTCCTCTGTTGTTTTCTGCTCTAAAACCAGCTGAACAGATCTGAAACATGAAACAGACTCGAAGAATATTCAAGAACAAAAAAAAATGTGATGATTTAATTTGATTTTTAATGTTTCTGCCACGTGATTTAAGTCCCTTTTATGTTTTTAGGTTAGGGTTGAGGTTTACTTTATTTTATAGGTGTTGTAAACTTAACAACACAGTAACAATGCTAACATCTGTTTTTAATTCAATTCAATTCAAAAATACTTTATTGATCCCAGAGGGAAACTAGGTAAGAAGGACAAAACAGTGTTTCTCCATCTGTCAGTAATTTCTCTGTTTTACACTGAGAGCATAAACCCAAAAAATTGGTCATTAAAGTTTTATTTCTTTTATTTGAACTTTAAGCCAAACTGTTGAAGTGCAACATGATGCAAGAATCCTCCAGTAAAAAAAATACAAACACACAAACACACTGCTTTCATCACTTCCTTTAAGACGCTCTTTCTTTCCCCAGATGGCGTGAATGAGTCAGATTTGATGATTTTCTGTAAATCTTTTATATCCGATGGAAACGCAAGCAGCTGTCATCATCCTATGTAAACAAGCGTGCTGTTAAAAAAAAGGAATGATTGCAAACAGCTCTGCGTTGTGCTGTGGACTATATGATGCTTAATGTTTACTAGTATTTATAAAACTTGAACTTTGCAGGAGCAGAAAACGTGTGATGATCAAAACAAACTGTTTTCTGGACGATCCCATCTTTAAAAAGCCTGACTGTTCCACACCTGATTCTGTCAGGTGTTGTAAAGTCACAATACACCTTCAATGTTCCAGTTTTATWTTATTAAAAACTAATACACTTGAAACCAAACAAACTTGTTTTAACTGGATAACGTATATTCAAACGGGACAGTGGCTATGATCAGCTGATCATGAAAAATTGGAGGAAGGCTTTAAACGTGGCAGCAATAACAAWACTTGTCAGTTTTTTTCCTGATTAGAATGATTTTTGTATTATTTGCTTAAAATAATAAGTTTTTTTGAGTAATTATTTTACCTGAAGACACGAAACTATGGTTGATGAAGTTAAAACTCAGTTTTTCATCATTCTGTTTTGATTTAAACTGGTTCAGATCTCTAATCTAAAACTGACCTCGTTTTGATAATATAAAGATACTCACTGAAAAGTCTGGAGTCAAACATATAAAAAAGGTTTATCTGGATTACGTCAAACTGTTTGACCTGAGTCCATGCTCAGTGTAAACAATCAGCTGAATTCACAWAAAATGTAATTTAAGGATATATTAATGATCTATATGAGAAAAAAAGTAGTGTACCTTTTAATGTTTCAGGTTCAGGTTTTCATGAAAAATATCTGGTGCTTGTTTAAAATAGATAAATAACAACCACAGAGGAAGAAACCTGCAGGAAAAGTTTTTATTTTTATTTAACAGAAGGCAAAAAGAGAAGAATCYAGACCTAAAGTCAAGCCTTAATCCATGTTAAATGTTGCTTCATGACCTGAAGAGAAATGAGCATAAAATCCTAAAAATGGATCAAATTTCCTTCAAAATGCTGTTAAAAAGACCGCTCTTCTGAATGAATGAATGAAAACTATGTAACACAGTTGTTTACACTTAAACAAAAAATATTTGACCAAAGAAAAACCAGAGCAGGACTAGAGGGAGATGAATATGAT